ACCGAAGATAACAGCAGTTTCAAAAGTTGGGGTTTCCGGACTTTGTTCTTTTAGATAACTACTCTAAAAGCAGTTGTTGGCATTTTCTCGTTTATGTCTCATTCTAATGATAATTTTTGTTTTGTGAATGGTTACTTGTGCAGAATGATTCTAGCTAAAATTTTATTGTACAATAGTAATTCGATGATTATAGACGCAAACTGGAGACCGATGGTTACTTCTTTATGTATTTCTTTACAGAGAGCTAGACTGAACAGAATAAGCAGTTAATTTTACTACTATAGTTAGGTGATACTTAAGCGCTTCGACGTTGCTGTCAAACACACACATAACACACATACGCATACACATGCACACGCAACACACAACACACGTCATTTTCCAGGACAGCACAACAAAAACTAATCTTCCCGACAGAGATTCACATCTGCGTTTAATGTTCTTTAATATGCATTTTTATAGTCCTGAAAGTTTTCTCCAATGTAAACACGATTACAATTGCTATATCAATAATTTTTATGATTCATGCCGTACCGACATCGTGTTGTGGTTTTCTGATTCCGTGGTTCACAGCACAAGAAGCAAGATAAACTTTTGTTTGCAACTATGCCATGTTTTTGACAGAATTTGTCTAGTGGTAAGGCCCCATCAACGCATATTGAAAACCTTAGCACTCTGACTGATTCCAGAGCAGTTCGTCTTACACGCCTAAATATGTCGGTACTGCACAATGCCTTTAACATGTTGCACAGATGACAGACTGCTCAGAATTTAAATCAGGCTCCCTTCGTAAACAATTCTTAAAAGCGAATATGCCAAATATTCAATTGGGTCTGTACTTAAACATCCCAGATTTGATTCCATCCCCTTTTGATTGCAATTCTCTGACCTCATTTAGCGTTACGTATATTCAAAGAAATTAGACGATTTATTTAATTTAGAAAGATATTATCTTAATGTACTTTTCTGCCAGGGCAACATCTTAGGAAACGTGGTGTACATAAACTTGATCCCCACCCAAACTTGGAGAGTAGAAACATTGTCTGTTAAATTACATACAATAACTCAGATCCCGTTTATATTGGCTAGAACCATCGAGCGTTAAGACTGGATTAACCGAACACAGAAGAGCCATTAGGTACAATAACGCCGATCATTCAGGTATTTGTTGCCCATACTCTGAAGTATGGTCATGACTTTAACAAATGCGATGTAACGGTGGTCGATCGGTACCACGACAGAATTAATCTGTCAGACGAAGAGTCGCTTCACATCGCAGTCAGCAGAAACAGAGCTTTTAACCATTACTTGACTCCAATTTCTGCGACAAGGGGTCTGATTAATTAGTTAATTAGCGACCGGTCAAGCGTCTCAAAAGTCGGATCAAGTACTCGCTGACAACTGCAGTTGTTTTGCATTAAGTTGATTCTGCGATGAGGACCGAACACTTAGCTTTTATGCTAGATCGAAACTGTGATGAAGTAAAACGAAGTTAATTAACTCATCAGTTTTTCTTAAATGGACAAAGATAGTTGATCTCGTCAGGTGGAAGTTGATTAGCAGTAGAATGGTATTTAAATGTTCTAAATCAATGCCTTTCGTAATATTGGTGCAAGAAGAGAAATTTAACTATCTATTGGTGTTATAGCTTGTAAGCCAAAAAGGTAAAATAATCGTGAACTTTACAACGGATTAAAGCATGTAAAAAATGCAACAACTAATCATTTTTTCATTCTGAGATGAAATTGAGGCAGCGGTTAAAACTAGGTGAATTAAACATTTCTAACATTATGTTCATAGAATTAGTTTTGTGCAGCAGAGAAGTAGTATTTGTATAATATAAATAAAATAAAGGTTCAAATCAGTTCATCTTGCATCCGTAAAACATGTGGTTTAAATAACTACCTGTTTTAGCTTTGGAAATTTGCGCTGTCTTTTAGACCGTTGATTGTTGTTGCCGTACTTCTGGTCAATTTTATTTAGCCAATACGTTACTGTGACATCAAATAAGCATTACCTCCATGCAACTCATCTTTCAAGGAAAGACACACAGGACCAATGAAAGTTTTCGTTAAAATTCTGGGATATTTCAGAAATTTCGCTCTTTAAATTCCTTCGTGTTAAGTTTCGCTTAGTGGGTTTCTGCTATTCTCAAATTGTTTGGAGATTAACCTAATCTTACTTAATCCATTAAAGATTTGACGTAACAAATAGTAGTTCTGTGCGGCCAGGAAGACAAATTATCCCACGGGGCGCAGCTGATCATCGTCAAAACTTGATCTCTATGGATGACTTAATGGAAATCTTGGTGCGAGGATTAAGTAATGCTGCGTGTTTGAAATGTCCATATTGTATGCGCAGTGACTTCATCATTATATTCCCATCAGGCACAAGTGCAACCTCCCCTGATTCTCTCAGATTTTCCATTGTCAGGATATACTTTTCGTAGTAAAGCGTATCCTTCCTACTGTAGAGACATGGCAATCCGGGCTCACGATTACGTAGCACTTCATCTTTATAATGTATACGATAT